GTATAACGCCCTAAATAAAATCTCACAGAAACCTCAATTTTTTTCATATCAACTTCAAATTTGGAACATAACTTATTTAGACATAAGGCTTTACATTTTTTAAGCAAATTTAGAGTAAAACCTGTTATGTAAAAATTTATTTTATATAAAATATAATAAAAATTGTACAGTGCATTTTCTTTTCAGTAAATTTAAACTTCTATAACTTTTTGATATTTTAATTCCACTTCTGCAATAATCTGCTGACTGTCTTCTTTAAAAAGAGACCAACCTTTCCTCTGTATTCCAAAGTGTTCATGAATTATAGCAATTTAAGTTTGGATAGTGCACTTTAATGCCTATTTTAAAAAATGGGGGGTGACAGTTAAGGGGTTAAACAATTGGCAAATGGAAAATATCTGCAGTGTAGCATAAATAAATCTGAAGAGAAAAAAAAAATGAAGTTTAAATAAAATATTTTTCCAAATTAACCGTGGCCCCCGACTTCCTTCGAGCCTCCTGGGGTTCCACAGACCCCAGTTTGAAAAGCCTTGCTTCATATGACAAATGACTGAAAAACCAAGAGATTCTGCACTGAGAATAAGCTTTTCTGTGTGAACTGTAGAAAAAGCTCAAACCATTTGGATACATAAAGGCGGTTTCTCCCTTACAGATTATAATCTTATAAATTTATAGCTTTGGACATCTAAACAACCAGCTAATTTCACACTACACAGCATTTCATTACATGCTGGGTGAGAAAGGTTTGCTGATAAACTAGCTTATTTTGTGATGACTGGTTCTTTATGTTAGGTCAGCAGAATCAAAGCTCTCAGCAGGGGGAGGCAAAAGACTCTCATCCAAAAGCTGTAGCAGTCAGTGCACTGCCAGTGAAAACTTCCTATAACCCTTTTAAAAATGTCTGTTTCTTGTAGGGTTACACTCTTTGTGTCTATCTCTTCATCTCCACCTGTTCACCTACATTAATGCTTGCTTTCCATCAGCTCAGAGCCATAATACTGTTAAAAACAGAAGTTAGCAAACAATTCAACCATCCTTTACACATCACTCTTTTATGAGTTCTATCCCACACTCCTCTAGCTGATAAAAGCGGTTTCTCCTGAAGCGAGCTTGACAGCTGCCATCTACACACTCACACTTGAGTTTCACATGCACTCCGCTGAGCTCCTCTGGACCCATGTTTAAGTGAAACCATGCACTGCACTCTGTAATTGTTGAGTCATGTGAACTGTTTTTAACCTTCTCTAAGCAGACTGTATTTTCAAGGCTAAATTAGAAAAATGCCTCTAATAAAATGTAGCCAAGAGATATGGTTCACGAAATGAAGAACAAAAAAAAGTATTTTAAAAAAGTAAATGCAAATATAAACACAGAGGTTTATTAACTTAAAGTCTGTGTTTACATTAAGACCAATATCACGTATTTAAATATCTAAATAAAATTTCATGTCAACTTTAAATGCAAATTCATGGCAGTTGAACATTAACTCAAAAAGCATCTACATCTCAGACTTGATCACTATAACAATTGGAAACCATATTTTTTTAGAAGGTTATGATTGTGCAAATACTCTGTAGATTCTTCGGAGGAGGAGGTGGAGAGCCCAACCTACTCCATTTCTCTCTACACATCTCTTCTATCTACATTGGGTTTGTTAAGGTCAGCAGACATTAAGTGACAAGGAATTGCAAAAGAAAAATATGTCCACATTGTAAAATAAAACACTAAACTAGTATAGTCTCTGGAAGAACTTAAAAGAATAAAAAGTAAGAATGAAAGAACAGGGAAAGAATGGAAAAAAAAAAAAAGATGCAAAACGGGAACACAATTTGCGTGTGAAATGATTCCCAACAAACTTGGCTCTGGTGTTTTGCATGACTAATCAAGTTATCACACTCTCCATTTGGCATATTGAGCTAATGCAGGCCAAATGATCTGCATTTACATTCTTGTCGAGTTTGGTGACTCATAGCTCAACAATTTTCTTTTCCACCACAATACCAAAAACCCAAACATGTCACACATGATTCAGCCAGGTATAGAAATACAATACGAGGACAATAACTGCCATATAGGGATAAACCACACACACAAAGAAACTGGACTGTGCCTGAAGTATATTAGCAAGAGTTAAGGGTAAACTGCAGCAAGAGGTCTAAACGTTCAATGACCAAATACAAACCCACAGCACTCATTAACAGCGTGGATGGGATGGGTGGTAGAGATGTGTGTGAGGATGGCCACTTTTTACTGAAATGATAGGCCCAACTCAAAACCACACCCCGAGCCCTCTACCTTGCTGGTTCCAAATAACCTGACAGACTAAACCAGCCCTTATTGTCCCTTTGTAAAGCCAGGTTGCTACTATGATCACTTAAGAAAGAAACAGTCACATAGGCCTAATTTACAACTTTGTGTTCCAGTCTTCCAGGCTAAGTTCGGTCCCTTGTAGGGGTGTGCAATATTTAGCATCTGCGACTTAATATCGCAACTGTTGTTTTAATGATATGCAAGCTGACATCGAGTATGTCATTCACTTTGCAAAAAAGAAACAAAAACACATCTTGAAAGTCCAGACTGCATGATGAAGCCTATTGTAATACAGTTAGAATGCCCCAATAATTCAAGTTATGAAAACATCCCTGTATGGGTCTTTGTTTTTTATATTTATATAGATACAACACCATGGTGTTTCATTCCTCAATACATCTGTTTTTGAATGAATCATTTGAATCAATGATCCATTCATGCAGACAGTCACTTGCTTCGTTTCTAAATGAACCGGCTATTTTGCACAAAATGACTGATTCAGTGAATCACTCCTTAAGAAAGGGACTTGCTGCCACCTATCGGTGGATTTAGTGTCATTTATGCCAAGGAACCAGCACAAAAACACACTCAGCAAAATATTGTTTAATTATTGTTATTTTTTTGTCAATATCGCACAACCCCTAGTTCCTAGTCACAGTAAGTTGCAAAGTGGAACAACCAGGCAACAATCCAATAAAACCACTAAAAAAAACACAAGACTCCTGTCACAGTCATTCTTACCTCACATATTAGCAAGGACGTTTATAGGACAGGACTAGAGATGGTTTGAGATAGGGCCATGAAGTTAGGCGGGACCACTGTTAAGTGAAGGGTGTCAAACACACCCATAAATCCCAAACGTATGGTACCTGGAAGGCCAGTTGATCGGAGAGAGGGTGTCTCCTTCTGAATCAGTCTGAAGTGACCACTGGTTTGTTGACTGGCTACAGGAGCTAAATTAGTTGAAACGCCCAAAAGAGTGAACCACTCAACAGTTTAGTGTTTATGCTTAGAGAGAGGGGAAAAACAATTCTTCTTCTTCAAAAATAAATAAATAATTAGGGCCTCAAATAAATTATGAAAATTGAGCTCGGCCTGCTGGGAACAGGGTTTTAAAGGCCAAATCCTCATTTGTTCACATTAAGTAAGCAATCAAACTTTATACTGACATTATAAAAGTGCTTTGGGTATTTCCTGAATATCATTCTTTATCATATTCATTTGTAATTTTTTGGCTTGGCTTGATGTTGGGAATTTTAATTCTGCTGGAATCTTTTGTTGCTTAATTTGGCACGCACTTTAATTCCAATGTGTCACACAGAGCACTGACCCATGCCATAAAGAAATGAATGCCAAAGGACAGTAAAGGTCAATGCTAATGGATAATGTGTCATACTGAACAGAGCCCACCCATCTTTAGGGAGCTGTTAAAACACTCCTAACAGTATGCAAGCCAAATCCTGCAAATTGACGGCTTTCTTTTGGGGAAAATACCTGTGAAAGACAGATTCAGGGGAATACCAGCCAACATTCTTTCCAAGAAAGGAAAGAGTAAGCGAAGGAAAATAAGACACCGATATATAAAGATACTACTAGATGACTGTAAGATAAAAAAAAGAAACATCTACCATGCTGAGAAGTCTCACCCGTGTCTTTGGAGGATGTTGTGAGCCTGCTGCTCAATAAACAGATCACCAGGAGATGCTCCCTGTTTTGGAGATGGCATCATGGTCCTTCGGCCTGCATTAGGCGAGCTGGGAACCCCCATCGCCCCTGGTTCCTTCCCTGGGACCCTGGCAGACCCTGATACATCCATATATGCAGATGGGTCAGGTGCAACCCCTCCACCTCCATGCAATCTATCCCGCTCCTGTGCCCTCCTCTGGTTCTCCAGATTCATCATCCTCTCGCGCTCGGAGATGGACTCGGTGTGATCCCGGATGAACTCTGGATCGCTGTGAATGTGTGAACTGGCCCTGTCTGCATGATGGCTGGGGGTGTAAGCATTATGCTCCACTCCATCTCCTCCATCTACCTTTGACTTATGTTGTCGGTCTGAGCCGTCGGGCTCTCTAGAGGTTTTGGAGTAGCGAGCCGTATAGTCAGTCTCCAACTCCTGATCCAGAGAGATGCCATAGCGCTCTGCTAGCTGACGGCGCCGTTCTGCCTTGTAGCGTGCGATCCTTTCGGCTTTAGAGTCCAGCTCTGCCACATGAGTGGAGCCAGTGCTATAGACAGTCTCCGGTTGGACTGTGTGGGTTCTGGACTGAACCTCTGCACTGTGCAGATTTGGGAAGTTTGGGTCATTTTTGCCATAGTGCTGAAGAGAAACTACAATGAGAGAGATAAAGAAAGATAATACATAGTTTATACTGAATCAGTTTGCCTAAATGTTTCTAATCAACTCAAACCTATCAATGTTGTACTGATATGCAACCTTAGTTATAATACAGATGCTTAATGCACATTATTTCTCATTCATGTTATAGGTGAGTGAACGATTCAAAGTATAAAAATATTAAGCACAGTTCTCACCTGTACAGGGGTCACAGGTGTCTGCTGCACGGGTATATCTTGGAGTGTCCTCCTCTAGCAGTCGATTGGTAACTAGACCGCCACAGTCTGGGAGATTTTGGAGAGCATCACTATCGATTCCCTCCAGACGTCTTGCAATCCGCTCTTTCCTATAAACAGGAGTGGTACAAGGGCATATTAAAATATATAATTCTTAATCTAAGGCGGTAACACTTTAGTATAGGGACCAATTCCCACTATTAATTAGTTGCTTATTATCATGCCTATTATTAACATATTGGCTGTTTATTAGCACTTATAAAGCATTTAATCTACATGACCATATTAAACATCCCTAATCATACCCAATACCTAAACTTAAAAACTACCTTACTAACTATTAATAAGCAGCACATAAGGAGTTTATTGAGGCAAAAGTCATAGTTAATGGTTTGTTAATAGCGAGAATGTGACCTGAAAATAAAGTGAACAAAAAAACATACTTTGTTTATTAGTTAGTCTTCCATATATTTTATATTTTTGTTACATTTATACAATACCATTCAAAAGTTTAGATTTTTTTATGTTTTTGAAGGAAGCTTTTAGTGCTCACCTAGGCTACGTGTATCTGATAAAAAAAATAAATAAATAGTACTGACCCCAAACTTTTAAATGATAGTGTACACATGTATTATACATTATTCAGTTATTGTGGTACTTTTGGATATGTATGCTACTTTAATTCTGGTGAAGAGCTTGAAACGTGTGGTGAAAGGGAAATTAAAGTGTGCTGACAATTTTGTGACTTTGTTATTGTTGCCGAACACCTGCATTAACTGAACTTTGGCTGTGCGTGCTTTGAGAATGATTTAACTTCTCACCTGTTCATGTCCCAACTCTGACTCGAGCTTACACTCTCAAAACGTTTCCTTAATTCTGAGACTAAAAAAAGAGAAAAAGAAAGGCAAACTGAGAATGGACTGGTAAAAGAATGATCTCTCACAAGAATAAGTAAATCTATCAAAACCATTACAAATATTAAAACGTAGTAAATAGTATTCTGCATTTGCTATATTCTTAAACAACTAAGAAAAGAAACACAAGTAGAGCTTATTTGTATACTGCAAGATAAACAACATTTCACACCACATGAGGACAGACTAATCCTTACATAGTTTAGCTTTGCTGGTGTTTAATACCAAGTCTTGTTTCATAATGAATTCGATGTATTACCCTCACAGGCATATCCAGCAGCATCATAAACCTGTTAAATTCTGAGAGCTCTTTGGCAACACTAACATTTTCCTACAGTAAGACCCAAGAATGAGTGGTAACTTAAGCATATAAAAATGCCAATCCCATCCCTTATATTTTTTTTCCAAATAAAATAAATGATCCTTATATAGTATTGCTTCCTGTGTCACTAAGTATACTGCCATGTCGCTACAGTGCCACACTTCCAATAATAGTTGAGGAGTCAAAAGTCCAGTGTGTTATCTAAAACAAAAGCTGCTTAGAGTCGTCTGACATTAGCTAGGAGCATGGCTGACTGGCTTTCCACAACAGTTAGCCAATCATAGGTGCATCCTCAGTGAATGTTGTTTCAGCTGTAGCCATGGAAATATGACACTCAACTGTGTCCAGTCACCAGGAGACTGAGAAGTGATTGAGAGGAGACTCATCATGGGCTAATGTGTACACACGGCACACTTGTTTCTAACAATGCTTCCTCAGCCTGGTCTCTCTGGGATTCAAAGCAAAGATCTGAGCGATGCAACGAAGACACAGGGCAGGTTTCATTCCCACAGGGCAGGATTTCTCTTTCTGTTACATGTAGTCAAGTAACAGACTTTTTAAGACCTTTTTAAGACCAAGTAAAAAAAATTAAAGGAATAAATTGAACAGAACACAATACTTCAAAATAGTCTTTAAATGTAAATATGTAGCAGCTTGAATATATTGTAGAAGTTGGAAAAACTTTCAACCAATCTCCATTATTTTTTATCTATATTTCTTTTTATTCATTTATTCATTCAAGGTCTGAATATCTCTGCTCCCTACCACTAGTTGTTTTCCAGTGCAAATGTCTAAAGATTCTTAAATTAGATGCATTTACTTGAGAAGCAAAATGATGAAATAATAAGTTTTGTTTTATGAAAAATTGATCAAAATGAAATGAAATGTTACAAATATCTGCCTCAGAAAAAAAAAAATTCAGCTTAATTTTTAAATGCTTGTTCTTTTGTTTTACACATTAACTCTCTTAATCTTGATTCAAGGATGTTTAGATTTTTGTATTGGAAAACAAAAAAATACTGAGGAAGATATTCATTTTTTGCAGTGTATGTTACATTTAATGACATGCCTCAGTTTCTGATCCAAGATCTTTTTAGGCATTCATTTGTGGAAGGGCTAATTAAGACTTTTTAAGACCTGCAGACACCCTTAAGTAAGGTCAAGTGTGTCTTACTTGATTAATCAATTCCATAAAAAAGTGGACAGATATGGACAAATATGTTAAAATGTCAAAGAACAATTCATTATATTTATCTTAATTTTATTAATTTATTAGACACTCCAATATATTTGAAGTAACACAGAGAGAGTGTTTGTTATGTCATGTTTTAAATCAAGTTCCCACTTGGAAAGTGGGGAAGAACAAACAGCAGTGTGAATCTGACATTAGACAGACCTGATTCTAACAAGCCAGGATTACACAACTATAAGAGCTTCATGCCAGCAAAATGAATGGGGGACATAAAATAACTAAAATATACAAAGTTTTTAGCCAAGAATAATCACTGTCATGAGCTTTTCTGAAAGGAGAACACCTACTGTGACTTGCAAATTTACAAAACACGCATACTAAAAAACAAAGGGAAACAATGTGGACTTGATTTCATCCATCAGGAATTAATTGTAGGTGAAAAGTGGGTGTTATGCACTAGAATGGAGCTAAACCAAATGTGAGTTTACTAAAACAAATGTCTAAACTGCTATTTGGCTATCAAATAAATAACAAATAGCCCGTGTGATGTCAACAGACAATAAATTGTTCACAATAAGACCAGGAACATGCATTTAGAAATCAATTTAGATTTTTTTAAGCAATAAAAATATGCTTAAGTTCAATTCAAAATATGCTTTAAAAAAGTCTGTTAAGAGACTGACAACATGTATTAGCCCACTGGCAGCATCTGTAAAAACTAAAAGACAGAATACGACTTAAAAATGCAAAAATGTCTTTTGGAGCTTACCAGAAGCAGGCTGCTCCTGCGAGAGCTCCACAAAATCATGTTCACCTATTTTCTGGATTGGATTTCAGTACAAACACTTTTACAAAGTATCTTGGCACTCTCTTTCACACAACTGTCAAATTTTCAGGGCCAGTAAGCAAGAGAACTTGCCCAACAACAGGTAACCCCAGCAGACCAAATATAGGTCATCAGTGTCCATCCCCCCAACCCAATAACCTCCATGTGTCCAGGAACCATCAAGACCATGCTAATTGAAAGAACATACAGTCTAGTAAACTTTGATCAAGGCACTAGCATTATATACTTTCTTATTTGCCATTTTAGCAGACTGTTGTTGTCTAATGTGAACACAGAATGTCTTATGTGGCTATATCAGGGAAAGACACCCTAAAATTAAACGGGCTTAAAGGGATAGTTCACCCAAAAATGAAAATTCTGTCATTAATTACTCACCCTCACGTCGTTTCAAACCCGTAAGGCCTTCGTTCATCTTCGGAACACAAATTAAGATATTTTTGATAGAATCTGAGAGCTGTCTGACCCTGCATAGACAGCAATACAACTGAAATGTTCCCAAGTCCGGAGACGTAGTCCCAAGTCCGGAGCAAGGATATCTGTAAAATAATCCATGTGACATCAGGGGTTCAACCGTAATTATACGAAGCTACGAGAATACTTTTTGTGCGCAAAAGAAAAAAAAAAACGACTTTATTCAACAATTCGTCTCCTCTGCATCACCCTATAGCGCCATTTTGGAGAGTATCAGCTGGACGTAAACAACATATGCTGTACTGTCAGCTGCGTCACGCCAGATCGGTTTCCTACGTTGTTGTGATTTGATCTGAACGAAAACGGCGTATCCGTGTGACGCAGCTGACACAGAACAGCATACGCTGTTTACATCCAGCGGATATTCTCCAAAATGGCGCTACAGGGTGATGCGGAGGAGACGAATTGTTGAATAAAGTCGTTTTTTTTTTCCTTCGTTCATCTTCGGAACACAAATTAAGATATTTTTGATGGAATCTGAGAGCTTGTTTCTGGACTTGGGAACATTTCAGTTGCGTTGCTGTCTATGCAGGGTCAGAGAGCTCTCAGATTCCATCAAAAATATCTTAATTTGTGTTCCGAAGATGAACGGAGGTCTTGCGGGTTTGAAACGACATGAGGGTGAGTAATTAATGACAGAATTTTCATTTTTGGGTGAACTAACCCTTTAAGAGCCACAGATCATTTAGTGTTCAAACCAAGTCAAGTGAATCTTGCTAAGTTTGTGACAGAGCTCATGGCTCCTGGTTTAGTGAGAGTAAAACTGAACTGAACTGATATAATAGTCATGATAAAGAACCACACAGCTGAAGTGTTGGTGTATATTGTACTTACCCTTGGGTGTATTTCCCAGCAGACTGACATGTAATTCTTTGTTGGTTCCCTCGTCTTTCTCTTCCAACAAGAACTCTTTCTGGAAGCTGGACAGAAAGAGAAACCAGCTTGAAATTTCAATATATTTTGCATATAATGTTTATAACAGAATCAAGAGGCCTCAGAATTGCCTGCTTTTGTTGAAGCAGCACCTGAAAAGGGATCTGAATCTTGGCAGAAATCACACAGTTCTATCCCAAAAAATGTGAAATGCAATATCTTCACATAAAAATGTGATTTTCCACAACTGGAAAAAGTATTTTTATTAAAGTTAGTTAAGTAATATTTTCCCAACAGCAAATAATGCCAACGCACCATACAGGACAAAAACAAATAGTTGGGAGAATAAATATAACACATTCAATCCCACATACCAAAGCGTGACTACATCTGGAGGTACACAATGTAGTCCGAATAAATTTGTTCAAGCCTTATACAAGACATTTAAAAGACTGAATTTCTGTTGGTGTGGATCTTTTCAATTGAGCTTATAAAAGCACTCAAAACCCAAGTTATATAAAAATAAGGATCTTACCTAAGAGCTCTACGTTGTAGTTTGGTATTGCCAACTTTAGGAGCGGTTTCTCCTGTGAAGCCTGTGCACACAAAAGAGAGCATAGCCTTCAGACTACAAATACTCCTGCTGGGTGACAGGAGTGATCAGCAAAAGTTGTTTCAAAGGCCCCATGTGAAGGGCAGGAACGAAAACAATAGTATCCATTTCATGGATGTCAACATGGTGCTGTGTCCATAGTTGAACAGACTTATTTCTGCATACACTCATAGGTACATTTATATGCAGAGGGTAAACTGCCAATCGGCCCTTGTGCTGTATGCTTTTTTTTAACAGTTTTGCTAGTCAAAGTGACCACATAATGCACAAAGTCATCTGTTTCTTTTACAAAACATACACTCACAGATCTCCTGATTGGAAATGCACCATTATCAGCAACAGCAAAGATATGAAAAGAAAACAGCAATGCGATTATAATGAATTCTGCCCAAAACTAATAACAATAATAATTCATTTTATATTATTTATATTGTTAGGGCAAATAAATAAACAAAATAAATGCAATAAAATTATTATATTAATACTGTTAATACTAATTAAGTTGGCTTGTGAAAGCCAACTTACTGAAATGCTATTTAAACTTCTTATTATTATTCTTCTTCTGAGACTAAATTATCAACTCTAACTCCTCCTAGAGCTTTAACTCTACAGCTTAAACTTTTCAATCTTTTCAATGTTTTTCAAACTTTCTGGTCCGGCTTTTCTCAAGCCAACTTAAAGTTTGTCTTGACGAACTTTTTTATCTAGTTACTACTATTACTACTATTGCTACTTAAAAAAATAAATAAAACAATTTGTCAATGTCAAATAAAGTTTTTGATGCTTATGTGGTTACTATACTAGGTAAAATCTTTGCAGTAATTTAAATTACAATAAATTTTTTAAATTAGCAGAAATATAAAATAAAATATAAAATATTAATATTAATAAAATAAATGTAAAATAAAATAAAAATACAATCATCAATGCTGGGTGATAACCAATATGATTCAAGAAACCTTTTAAAAACAAATAAAAAAAATACATTCACTCTGATGGGACTAATTTAAAAATTTTTTGTTAACATTCACTTGATTAATGCAATTAAAAGACTAGTGTTGTTATCCGGGTGTGGCATCAATTCTATGAATAAGCACATGGAGATGTGACATCTGAGACTCACAGAGGGATTGGAAGAGGAGAACATGTGTTTCCACTTTACCCACAGATCAATAGCCTGACCACACATTCACCCACACCGACCAAACCCCCTTTTTGACATTCAAAAATTCAATATTTTAATATTTTAATCTCCAATAAGGACTGTGGTTAGATGTCATTACCTCCTTCCTTCTCAATCTATAATAACCATTTGAGAAGAGAAAGTGAATGAGAGAGCCAACTGATGGCCTGTGTTTTGGTACGGAGTGAGTTTTCACAGCTGGGATGAGTATCTGTGAAAAACATTCCTCCCTGCCTAAAAATCTCCTCTCACTTCAGAGTCACAGGGCCAATTGACAAGGCAACATCACCCAGAGGGGGATGGAAAGAGAGAACAGGAAAGTTTTGGAAGAAAAGAGAAATGATACGCTTAGAAACTGGGATTTGTGCTGCTATTCCTGATACAAGATGTTTTTAGCTTCAAAAGAATTGAGCAGTAGTTCTCAAACTTTTTACACCAAGTACTACCTCAGAAAATTTTTGGCTCTCCAAGTACCACCATAATGACCAACATTAAAATACAGTAGCGTAGTAGGCCTAATTTATCAGCTACAGCTATGCACAGTTCAAAAACGAGGCAGTTTTATTCCTAATAAGAATATTTATTATTGTCAGCCACTTTAAACATTGTACAGCTTGAACATTAACACTGCACTTTTCTTACATACAGGCAGGGGTTAAATTGGAATTTGATATGTGGGGGGGCTCTATGGTTTGGGGCTTATATATATTAGTGGTGTCAAACGATTAATTGGGATTAATCGCATCCAAAATAAAAGTTTTTGCTGACGTAATATATGTGTGTGTACTGTGTATATTTATTATGTATATATAAATACACACACATACAGTATATATTTTGAAAATATTTACACGTATATATTTATATTTATATAATTTATATTATATATAAATATATTTAATATAGAAATATAAAATTTTTCTTAAATATGTACATGCATGTGTGTGTATTTATATATACATAATAAATATACACAGCACACATACATATATGTGAGTCACTGAGTTGTTCATTCAAGCGATTCGTTCAAATGGCTGTTTCATCAGATGTTAATGCATGGGCTAATGAAACTTTGACTCAACCAATTCGTTCAGAACACGGACTCATTCAGCAATGAATCTGCTGGTTTCTGTGAGATGACCTGTGGTTCCGCCTAAAATGTAAGTGACCTAATATTATTGTACTTGCTTATTGAACTGTTTATTGAACCATTAAACAGTCATAATGGTGAAAACATTTACATTACATTTAGTCATTTAGCAGACGCTTTTATTGAAAGCGACTTACAAATGAGGACAATGGAAGCAATCAAAATCAACAAAAGAGCAACGATATACAAGTGCTATAACAAGTCTCAGTTAGCTTACCGCAGTACACGTAGCAAGGGTTTTTTAAATAATATAACAAATAAAAAGAAAAGATAGAATAGAAAAAGAATAGAGCAAGCTAGTGTCAGAGGTCTTTTTTGCTTTTGTTAATTGTATAATAAATGAAATGAAAACCGACAGAATACGAAAAGATTAGAAAGCAAGTGTTAGTGTTTTTTTTTTTAAAAAGAAAACAAGCAGCAAATGAATAGAGTGCAAGTCTAAAAGGGACATGTGTTTTTTTTTAGTGACCTAATATTATTGTACTTGCTTATTGAACTGTTTATTGAACTATTAAACAGTCGTAATGGTGAAAACGTTGTGTGATGTTGCCTAATTAACAGTATTTTAAATATAAAAACTTTTCATTTTGATTTTTTACCTCAGCATGCTTACTTGTCTGGCGTTAATGAAGCGTTAATGTCGAGCCCCGGAGTCAATGTGACCCTGGACGGCCCGGACCAATTTAAACCCTGCATACAGGTAAATAAAAAACTTAAATGATTAAATAAAAATTTACTGTACCTAAAAGTTAAATAAAAACTGTACTGTACTTAAAAAGATTTTTTTTTTACTGTACTTAATGTACAGTACTTGATCAAAAAGTTACAGGCATCATTTAGCCACCTTGCAAACTTTTTAAAAGTGTTTTAACATTAATTTATATTTAATTCAGTGATTCCTCTGCGTACCACTAGAGGGAGCCCCACACTTTGAGAATCAGTGGAATAGAGAATTCACAGCAAATGACAGAAGCTCCTCTGTTCTGGTACCCTGCACTGAGGACACCTTCCTGTGCCATATGTTACGATGTGTTATTGTTGCATCTGGGATAATTCAACTACAAAGCCATTGCCATTCAACCAAGCCAAGTGATTCATGATGCCAGTGTTAAAAACAAAGCATTGACTGATTTTCCGATGTCCTCACTAAATTAACACTACAGGGTCAATTAAAAGTTAATGACAATGTTTCCCAGAAGCAGGAACAACAACACAAACCCATCATGCAAACTGACAGTTCGTAATGCAGATAAACTGGACTGATCACTAAAATTATCCTAAGCATTAATTATGTGCATTGCATGGTCTTGTTGAGAGCACCCACTGCTAACAGACATGCATGGAAATCCACAACACCTTGGCTCTGTGCCCGCTTAAGTACAGATGCTAATCAGACACAGTCAAGTGCGACATTTACTGCACTTTAAATCGCATGTTATTCCACAGGCCTGTGACACAGCAACATACCTCTCTGATCTATAACAAGCATCATATAGAAGCTGATTGCACAGCTCTGAAACTTGTTCAGGTTAATTTTATGTTCCAGCATATCGCACACCAGTTTTCCAGCACAGTCAGTACCAGATAATATGGTGACTGATAAACTTGCATGACTGTAGGTTTCAGTCACTGATATCTGGCATTAGTCGGAGTAGAAGCACATGGAGGAGATACAGCTGAAGCAAGTCACAGCCTGTTTGGTCATATGACGAGGTCATAAACCCAATGCTCTCAGGCTCCTAAACGCCGTCACCGTTTAGGCACATTTAGAAATTACTTACAATGGGCCTCATTCATGAAAAGCAAGCAGAACGAATTTGTGTAAATCGTTCGTAAAACCGTTCTGACGTAAACTTTCGAATTCATGAAAATGTTCGTATTTTCAAAATGTTAGTTGGTTGGAAAGAAATTTACACCTGCTCCCTACCACGTGTAAATGGTGCGTAAAACGTTCTTCAGTGTTCATTTTGGCAAACTGATCACACTGAATTTGATGCACTGCCATTATAATATTTTACAAGTTCGTTTGCTCCGTTTTTTTTTTTTTCTTGTAGATGAGAGTTGATAAACTGTTTAGCTTTGGGTAAAATGCAGCGCTTGTCACTGTCACTTTTTACCCAGCCGTCCAATCAATGGAGGAGGGGCGGTACAAATACTACACCGTCCTACTTGTACAACAACTGAACAACAATAGAGAAGTTAATATTGCTGGTTACTGCATTTTTATATTTAGCAATATTCTTCAAAATGAGATACTAGTAATAC